ATATATAATATATATATATATATATATATATATATAATATATATATATATATATATATATATATATATATCAATAACACTGCACTAGCTAAGGACTCGAGCCCATTGTGTACTGGCCCGCCTCATGGTGAGCCAGAACCACACGATGCCTTAACCCACAGGGCCACCCAATCCTACAAAGATGGCGCAGCCAGCAGAGCTAGCTGTTTCACCGTCATTCGAGGACCTTCGGTGTCGTGGGAGCTTCTAGGCTAATTTACATTCTCATCCCTGTTTGGTGTACTAGTTCACGAGCAGCATATATATATATATATATAATATATATATATATATATATATATATATATATATATATATATATATATATATATATATATATATATATAATAACCACGAACGAGTGGTATTGATCAATAACAACAAGATCTCCACACACTGTGGGTGCTCCAGCCTCGTAACTGTCATACAGAAAAAGGTAAATGCACACTATGGGTGTTCCGAACACTGCAAGAGTTCCCACTTTCACACTGTCATGTACAATAAGGTAGCCAAACTCGTATAGTACAGCCTATTAGTTTAGCAAACTTTGCACATGTGCTCTTGATGTTACTCACGTTACATTCAAATTTAGGAATAGGTTTGATGTGATGTCTACCTTAGGTCCTTTTCCTTTACTAGGCAGGCCAATAAATTTATTGTCCTACCAGTAAAGGGTTAAAATATTTCACTCCCAGTTAATGATATGTCTCCAGCCATCTCTTTACCTGATTCCCCAGTCGACCATTCCCTCACTCTCTCCAGGTATTCTGAGGGAGTGGTGGGTTAAATCAAATTTCCTTTTTATCGTGTCATGCTCAGAATTCTTTTATCATCCACAAACAGTCTCATGCAGGGATTAATTCTTCTTCTATTCACAGAATTGAGAGAGAATATGAAGCCTAGTAACGCACTACTGACACAACTTGTTCCTTGTGCACAATATCTTACAACTACACGTTCTAATTCTGTTGCTATTGCATGTTCTAAATATGTTACAATCGCACGTTCTAAATCTATTTCAAGTGCATGTTCTTAATCTCGGTGAAGATCTCTCCCTTCGAGGGAGGCGCCTTGATGCTGGTGAGGGAGACGCCTTGATGCTGGTGAGGGAGGCGCCTTGATGCTGGTGAGGGAGGCGCCTTGAAGCTGGTAAGGGAGGAGTTTAATGCTGGTAAGAGAGGCTCTTTATCCTAGAAAGTGGATATATCAACCCCTCCTCCCTTTTATTGGATTAAACCTGATTGCCTCCCTTTCCCCCATGTGCAGTATGACCCCTGCTGGCCTAGCGCTCCCCTTCATCACATATAGAGAGCTACTCATGCGATATTTGAAGTGAGTAGACAAACTCACATTTGAGCACTGTATCTTAGAATTAGATTGTTCAAAATATCCAACCATTTAGATATAGCCTCAAAGAAAATCATACAGGCTCTGTATGACCCCCTAAGCCCTAAGGGTTTAACGCTTCCTACAGAATATAATAATGAATTAAGTATTTAAAACGAATAATGTTAATATATCGTAATGAGACTAAGACTAATTACTGAGAGTGCAATTAACGAGTGGTCCAGTGACCTCAGAGTTAATGGATAGGAGATCTTAAAATTATATCCATATACTGTATTAATTACATAATTAACTATATGTTGACTCTGTAGCCTGTGAAGTGATGCTGTAACAGGCAATTACAGTACTTGTATTCAATAGGGTGTAACAAGACGCAGGTGAATAGGGGATATCAGGTGTAAAGAGAGACTTGGTGGAGGTGAGGGAGGGAAGGATGAAGGTGTACAAATAACCCCGTCGGACCGACGCTTCGGTCTGACTTCCCCTCAAGGGCTCTTGATCTTGGGACTTTGATCTGTGATCTAGTTCCCTGATTTGAGCCTGAATACCTTCCATAACCCCCCCCCCTACATGTGCTATATAATCCTACGGGTTTAGCGTTCCCCCATGATTATAATAATGTAATTCAGTCTGACTTGGATCATTAACTAATCATACTAATAACTAGTCATTAACTAGTTAATAGACCAAATCGGACTGAAACATACCCATGGGCGGGTTACTTGCGTATTCCAGTCACGTTATTGTAGCTTCTTATTCTTTAAGGTAGAGAAGGAAGGAAGAAAAGGAATGCGGGAATAAAGGCAGGAAATGAGAGAGGAAATGGATGAAAGAGGGGAAGGAGTGGCATCTCTTCCTCACCAGCCCCAGCATCCTAAGATGCACCATCCCGGGGGCACACCAAAATCCGTGACATCAATTTGCGGTTCAGTACGGTCCGTGGAGGGAGAAATGCCAGCTCGGCTAGCCAGGCCCCACGCTTCATTTCCGATAATGAGCTACTTTGCATATTGCTTCACTCGTGAGTCGCTTATCGGCGAATTCGTTATCTTTTTTTTCGCTAGGTGTAATTCAAGATAATTGTAAATTTCCAGGAAAGAAAAAGCGGAAGGCAGCCAAAAAAGAAAGGAAGTTTGAAGTTATATTAGAGAGAAATGAACTTAGTAAGACTAGAGTCCACTTAGAATGATGTCAGATCACTTTCAACCATGCCAGAACAATTTGAACGATGTCAGACCACTTTGAAAATACCTGAACATTTTGAACGATGTCAAATCAGTTGGGGCGTTGCCAGGTCACTTAGAACGGATGACATTTCATTTTGAAATATGCCAGGCTGCTTCGCATTATGCCAGCCAACAATTAACAATGCCAAAAGGCAATTGTTAAGGATGTTATACCCCAGTTAATAATGCCAGCTAACGATACCAAGCCACTTTTAACGAGAGCAGACCTGAGTTAACGACGCAAGGCCATTTTTTTTTAATGACGCCAGACCACAGTTAACGCTGCCGGGAGACCATTGTTAACAATATGTGAAGGGATCTACATTTTTTAGGGAAAGCTAAATCATGTATGCGAAATTGTGACTTACATTAGCATTTGTGTGCAGCAGCGCAGAGTATTGGTGACGGGTTGTTAGGATAAGGGGGAGCAGAAGGAGGGAAGAAGGGGGTGGATAGATGGAAATAGGAGAGAGGGAACGATGAGAGGGAAGTGGGGTAGTGAAGGAGGGGAAGGGAAAGAGGTAGGAGGAGGGTGATGAAAGGAGGATGGAGACGAAAGGAAGATGAGGGAAGGATTAAATGGGAGGAGGAAAGGTAGGGAGAGGGGGAGAAAGGTAGGGGAAGGGAGGGAGAAAGAGGAGGGTGGGGAAAAAGGGGAGAAAGAGAAGAAGTGGGGGATAGAAATTAAGGTGTTTAAAGGCTACCCATGTTTAGGATGTTTTCATTATTCGTCAATATTTGAGGTGTTAAACATACGCCAATATTTAGGAAGTTTTAAACATGCGTTAGTGTTTTGAGCATACGTAAATGTTTATTGCATTTTATTGAGATGTTTTAAGCATACGTCAGTATGTAGGGTGTTTAGAAATACGCAAATATCTTAGGTGTTTTAAACATACGTAATTGTTTAATATATTCAAAATACCTGACGCTATTTAATGTTTTAAAATGCGTCAGCATACAATATTTTTAAACATATGTCAGTGTTTAAGATGTTTTAAGCGTTAATGGTTATTGGGTTTTAAAAATGCCAATGTTTGTGTTTTAAACATGTTAAGGGTTTTAAACGCGTTAATGTTAAGGTTTTTAAACGCGTTAATGTTTAGGTTTTTAAACACGTAACTGCTGAAGTGACTAAAGCATACGTCAGTGTTTAAGGTGTTTTAAAAATACATAAGAACATTAGAAAGAATATCTGCAGCAGGCCTACTGGCCCACACCAGGCAAGTTCAACTCACACGCACCCACACTCACTCATGCAGTTGTCTAACCTATTTTTAAACTGACACAAGGTTTTAGCTTTAGTGACGATACTCGGGAGTTTGTTCATCTCATCCACAACTCTGTTACCAAACCAGTGTTTTCCTATATCCTTTATCCTTTATTCAGTGCTTTCCTATATCCTTTATCCAGTGCTTTCCTATATCCTTTATAAATTTTTTTTTCAACTTAAACTCATTGTTTCGAGTCTTGTCTTGATTAGGTATTTTTATTACGTTACATCCCTCTATTTATTCCTGTTTTCCATTTATGCAGCTCAATCATATCTTCCCCTAATTCTACGTTTGTCTAGAACATAGAGGCACAATTATTCAATGTCCTCAGTCTATCTTTGTGGAAAATATTTCAGATACATAGAATCAACTTTTGTCATCCTTTTCTGTACGTTTTCCAGAGTATTTATGTCCATTTTGTAATATGGTGATTAGAACTGTGGAGGATAATCTAAAGGAGACCTGACCAACGATATTTAGAGTTTAATAACCTGAGGACTCCTGCTATTTATACTTTTCGATATGAAGCTAAGAATTTCATTCGCTTTATTGCGAACACTTACGCATTGCTGTTCTGGCTTTAGATTATTGCCAACCAGAACTTCTAAATCTTTTTCGCATTCAGAGTGATTAAGATCTACGTTATTTAGCTTGTAGGTACCATGGTTATTCTCTTTTACAAAGCTTAGAACTTTGTATTTGTCTGCATTAAACCGCATATGCCACTTCTCAAAACACTGCAGCAGTTTATTCAGGTCTTCCTATAGCACTGTTGTCCTCGTCAGAATTAATCCGACAGCGCATTTTGGTGTTATCGGAAAAAATATATATGCCGCTATTTATTCTCTCGTCTATGTCGTTTATGTATATTGTGAACATACCGAAGGGCCCAACACCGCTTGCAGGACACCGCTTGTGACGCATCAAAATATTGCAGATAAATGTCAACATTATATCAGCTGAGGAAAAAAAAAATCTTAACATACGACATGATTAACTCTCACCCCGTCAGCGCTGCTACACTGTGGTCTATTGGTCAATAAAAGGAGTGAAGTAGTTTTGGGTTGTTTGCTTGTAGCTACCCTCTGCATGTGGAGGTAACTGAAGGTGGCAGCCAGACGTCAGTGTGTGGATCTGAGAGCCAGTGAGTGGTTGGGCGAAAATTTGTGTCGGAAAGAACTGTGAAAAATAAAAACAGGTAATTAACTATTTTAGATAACAAAGTATTCTAGACTGCCGGTGACAGGGTTACATGCTGCTCTGAAAACCCAAGTGTAGGCTATAAATTTAACCCAGCTAACCAGCCACAAATAAGATAGGCCTCAATATTATTTTTTGCGTTGACGTGGTAGAGGTGAATGGAAAAAAAAAAGGGTTACAATGGAGTGTATTTTACTATCAAGTGGACACACTCGTGTTAGGGAAACTGCTGACCGTCAACATTTGATAGTTAAAGCTGCTGTTAGGACCACACTAGTTAAACACTGTGTTTTAAAACCACTTAATATCTCAAGACTGCACGAAAGATTGTGATGCGTTCTTTAAGCCACTACAGTAGTACTTGTCCGGCGCTGTGAAGTGATCGTAGACTCTCCCCCGGAGAGGCTGCATAAATTAACTGACAGATATGCAGACTGGCGAGTACATATAAGTACTGGTATGTATGTTGTAATAAACAACTGTCGATGTAATATATTTTATTTATGTATGTATGTATGTCGTGCCGAATAAGTAAAACTTGCGATTTTGGCTTAAATAGCAACGCACTTCTTGCCGAACAGGGCAAGTGAAAATTTCTGTATGGAATATATTCGCAAAAAATCATTCTGGATTTAACAAAAAAAAAAATATATTTCATTGTTTTTTATTAAATTATTGTAAATATGTATAAAATATATTTAGTTGGATTATGATAAATTGCGCTAGTTATAATAAGGTTAGGAAACTTTTCTAAGGTTCTTATGCTACAAAATCATTAATTTATGTTAACATAAATGAAAAAAAATGTCTTTAAATGTATAAGAAAATTTTTGAGAAAAAAATTAATTTTAAACGATTTCTTGTTAATTGACCAGTTTTACCCATTTGGCACACGTACGTGTGTGTGTGTGTGTGTGTGTGTGTGTGTGTGTGTGTGTGTGTGTGTGTTGTGTGTGTGATGTGTTGGTGTTGACTGTGTGTGTGGTTGTTGTGTGTGTTGATGTGTGTACTCGCCTAATTGTGGTTGCAGGGTCGACGACTCAGCTTCCTAGGCCCGCCTCTTCACTGATCGCTAACTGGGTCCTCTCCTCGTCTCTGCTGCTCCTGAGCTTGTCATACCCTTCGTTAAAACTATGTATGATTCCTGCCTCCACATACTTCCACTTGCTAGCTATTCCCACTTCTGACGACTCTATACGAAGAAATACTTCCTACGTCCCTGTGACTCGTCTGATCTTCAGTCCAGTTTGACCCCTTGTTTGTGTCCCCTCTCTGGAACATCATATCTCTGTCCACCTTGTCTATTCCCCGCAGTATCTTGTATGTCGTTATCATGTCTCCCCTGACCCTTCTGTCCTCCAGTATCGTCAGTCCGATTTCCCTCAACCTTTCCTCGTACGACATTCCCCTGAGCTCTGGAACTAGCCTTGTTGCAAACCTTTGTACTTTCTCTAACTTCTTGACGTGCTTGACCAGGTGTGGGTTCCAGACTGGTGCTGCATACTCCAGTATGAACCTGACATACACAGTGTACAGTGTCTTGAACGATTCCTTATTAAGGTATCGAAACGCTATTCTCAGGTTTGCCAGGCGCCCGTATGCTGTACTCACCTAGTTGTACTCACCTAGTTGAGGTTGCGGGGGTAGAGTCCGAGCTCCTGGCCCCGCCTCTTCACTGATCGCTACTAGGTCACTCTCCCTGAGCCGTGAGGTTTATCATACCTCTGCTTAAAGCTATGTATGGATCCTGCCTCCACTACATCGCTTCCCAAACTATTCCACTTACTACTCTGTGGCTGAAGAAATACTTCCTAACATACCTGTGATTCATCTGTGTCTTCAACTTCCAACTGTGTCCCCTTGTTACTGTGTCCAATCTCTGGAACATCCTGTGTTTGTCCACCTTGTCAATTCTTCTCAGTATTTTGTATGTCGTTATCATGTCCCCCCTATCTCTCCTGTCCTCTAGTGTCGTCAGGTTGATTTCCCTTAACCTCTCCTCGTAGGACATACCTCTTAGCTCTGGGACTATCTTGTTGCAAACCTTTGCACTTTCTCTAGTTTCTTTACGTGCTTGGCTAGGTGTGGGTTCCAAACTGGTGCCGCATACTCCAATATGGGCCTAACGTACACGGTGTACAGGGTCCTGAACGATTCCTTATTAAGATGTCGGAATGCTGTTCTGAGGTTTGCTAGGCGCCCATATGCTGCAGCAGTTATTTGGTTGATGTGCGCTTCAGGTGATGTGCCTGGTGTCATACTCACCCCAAGATATTTTTCCTTGAGTGAGGTTTGTAGTCTCTGGCCCCCTAGACTGTACTCCGTCTGCGGTCTTCTTTGCCCTTCCCCAATCTTCATGACTTTGCACTTGGTGGGATTGAACTCCAGGAGCCAATTGCTGGACCAGGTCTGCAGCCTGTCCAGATCCCTTTGTAGTTCTGCCTGGTCTTCGATCGAGTGAATTCTTCTTATCAACTTTGTCATCTGCAAACAGGGACACCTCAGTCTATTCCTTCTGTCATGTCATTCACAAATACCAGAAACAGCACTGGTCCTAGGACTGACCTCTGTGGGACCTCGCTGGTCACAGGTGCCCACTCTGACACCTCGCCACGTACCATGACTCGCTGCTGTCTTCCTGACAAGTATTCCCTGATCCATTGTAGTGCCTTCCCTGTTATCCCTGCTTGGTCCTCCAGTTTTTGGACCAATCTCTTGTGTGGAACTGTGTCAAACGCCTTCTTGCAGTCCAAGAATATGCAATCCACCCACCCCTCTCTCTTGTCTTACTGCTGTCACCATGTCATAGAACTCCAGTAGGTTTGTGACACAGGATTTCCCGTCCCTGAAACCATGTTGGCTGCTGTTGATGAGATCATTCCTTTCTAGGTGTTCCACCACTCTTCTCCTGATAATCTTCTCCATGATTTTGCATACTATACATGTCAGTGACACTGGTCTGTAGTTTAATGCTTCATGTCTGTCTCCTTTTTTAAAGATTGGGACTACATTTGCTGTCTTCCATGCCTCAGGCAATCTCCCTGTTTCGATAGATGTATTGAATATTGTTGTTAGGGGTACACATAGCGCCTCTGCTCCCTCTCTCAATACCCATGGGGAGATGTTATCTGGCCCCATTGCCTTTGAGGCATCTAGCTCAGTCAGAAGCCTCTTCACTTCTTCCTCGGTTGTGTGCACTGTGTCCAGCACATGGTGGTGTGCCCCACCTCTCCGTCTTTCTGGAGCCCCTTCTGTCTCCTCTATGAACACTTCTTTGAATCTCTTGTTGAGTTCCTCACATACTTCACGGTCATTTCTTGTTGTCTCTCCTCCTTCCTTCCTTAGCCTGATTACCTGGTCCTTGACTGTTGTTTTCCTCCTGATGTGGCTGTACAACAGTTTCGGGTCAGATTTGGCTTTGGCTGCTATGTCATTTTCATATTGTCTTTGGGCCTCCCTTCTTATCTGTGCATATTAGTTTGACTCTACAACTGCTCTCCTTATTCTCCTGGGTCCTTTGCCTTCTATATTTCTTCCATTCCCTAGCACACTTGGTTTTTGCCTCCCTGCACCTTTGGGTAAACCATGGGCTCATCCTGGCTTTTTCATTATTCCTGTTACCCTTGGGTACAAACCTCTCCTCAGCCTCCTTGCATTTTGTTGCTACATATTCCATCATCTCATTAACTGGCTTCCCTGCCAGTTCTGTCCCACTAAACCCCGTTCAGGAAGTTCCTCATTCCTGTGTAGTCCCCTTTCTTGTAGTTTGGCTTCATTCGTCCTGGCCTTCCTGCTTCTCCCTCCACTTGTAGCTCTACTGTGTATTCGAAGCTTAAAACCACATGGTCACTGGCCCCAACCTGGAGGTTACCTGGAGGTTATTCCGGGGATCAACGCCCCCGCGGCCCGGTCCAAGACCAGGCCTCCCGATGGATCAGGGCCTGATCAACTAGGCTGTTACTGCTGGCCGCACGCAGTCCGACGTACGAGCCACAGCCCGGCTGATCCGGCACCGACTTTAGGTATCTGTCCAGCTCTCTCTTGAAGGCAGCCAGGGGTTTATTGGCAATTCCCCTAATGCTTGATGGGAGGCTGTTGAACAGTTTTGGGCCCCGGACACCTATGGTGTTTTCTCTTAGTGTACCAATGGCGCCCCTACTTTTTATTGGCGGCATTTTGCATCGCCTGCCCAGTCTTTTACTTTCGTAGGGAGTGATTTCTGTGTGCAGATTTGGGACCATTCCTTCCAAGATTTTCCAAGTGTAGATTATGATATATCTCTCCTGCGTTCCAACGAGTACAAGTCAAGTGCTTTCAAGCGTTCCCAGTAGTTAAGGTGCTTGACAGAACTTATACGTGCAGTAAAGGATCTCTGTACACTCTCTAGATCTGCGATTTCACCTGCTTTGTATGGAGATGTTAATGTACAGCAGTATTCCAGCCTAGAGAGAACAAGTGATTTGAAAAGGATCATCATGGGCTTGGCATCTCTCGTTTTGAAAGTTCTCATTATCCATCCTATCATTTTCTTTGCACGTGCGATTGTGGCACTGTTGTGATCCTTGAAAGTGAGATCCTCAGACATTACTACTCCCAGGTCCCTTACATTATTTTTCCGCTCTATTGTATGGCCGGAGTCAGTAGTATACTCTGTTCTAGTTATTATCTCCTCCAGTTTTCCATAACGGAGTAGTTGGAATTTGTCCCAAGGGGTCTTTCATATGTGATGTCCTCGATATCTGCACTACTCAAGGTGAATAATAAGTCCAGCCTTGCTGGTTCATCCTCTCCTCTCTTGTAGTGTCCCTTACATGTTGGTACATGAAGTTTTCCAGTACAACCTCCATTATGTTAGCCCTCCATGTATCTTGGCCCCCATGCAGGTCCAAGTTCTCCCAATCGATCTCCTTGTGGTTAAAGTCACCCATGATCAGGAGCTTTGCCCTGCATGCATGAGCTCTTCTGGCCACTCTAGCCAGTGTGTCAACCATCACTCTA